AAAAAAATTGGGGGGTGGAATGGATTATCTGGTGATGAGGATAATAACACCAATTGACTGCGCAGGATTGCCGCTGTCCAAATTATCACAATAACACACATGCCTGAGTTGACCATTCCAAAGAGCTATCTCAGCCCTAAATCTATTATTACAGTTCACAGTGAACTAACTGTCCAGAGAGCAGCAGATCTTGTTTTCCAACAAAGCATTCATTGTCTCCTCCATATTTTTATGCAAACTTCTTTTCACAAATGAAAGTCTTGGCAAGGCTATGTTACAGGAAGGGCACATGTAGATTTCTTTGTTTTGTCTTCTTTTGTTGACTAGTCCTTTTCATGCCCAGGTTATGTCAACAGCCAGAAGAATCCAACCAGCTAAAATTGACCTAACTCTGTTCCATCTGCCAACACCATCGACGTGTCAGAGATGAAAAGTGGGGCAAAAGGGGCCAAGCAATGCCAAAGTGTGATCAGAATGGCAAAAGTCATTAATAAGAGGGAAATTAATAAGGGAAAAGACATAAGCTAGCAGAAGCTGCAGCAGTTTGCTTTTGCCTGAGCCTACTGGAAAGGGCCAGATTTTTGTCTTCTCTCCTATCCCCTCTGAAAAATACTTTTGCACTTTGCAATTAATAATAATAATAATAATAATCAAAGTTATATTATTATTAGTAGTAGTATTAGTAGTATTATTATTTCTTACCTGCCTCTCCCCGTGGATCAAGACAGGGGACGACAGCAATTAACATCAGTTAAAACACATTGGTTAAACCACACATCAATTTAAAAGGACAAATAAGATGTGTACATATTAAAACAATCCACACCTAAAATTCGTCATTTAAAATTCACAATTTAAAAATCATCTGGAGAAGCCTGCTGGAAGAGACTAGCCTTCAATGCTCTTTTAAATTCAAACACCGTATTCAGCTGTCTTCCAGCAGGTCATTCCACAGTCTAGGGGCGGCTGAAGAAAAGATCCAGTTTGCAGCAACTGAAGGAAGCTGAAGACAAAGGGGGAAAGTGGGAGGAGGAGAGTGAAACTAGGATATTTTAAGAGCAGCTGAGAAAGTGGGAAGGCAGAGGGTTCATTAGGACTTCTCCCTGACAACTTGGGATGTGTAAAGTGGAGTCTTGCTTTTCCCAGTTGGCTCCGGCCAAAGCAAAGTGCTGCATCCTAGCAAAGCTTGTGCATCCTTCCTCAACACACGGCCTTTGCCCTCTGGACTATGCGCGGATGTTGCATGGCATGCTGAAGGGTATAGAATGGCACCCAAGAGAAAGTGGCAGATGGCCGCATCGAGGAGGAGCTGTTTGCACATGCTACCCCTCAGCCGCCTTCTTCCCTGCAGCTTCCCGCTTGGCAGTGCTGCAAGGCAGAGGGAACTAGCAGCCGGAGGCCTGCCAAGCCCGCCTCGTTGAAAACAAACACCACGGAAACCGCTGGCGTAGGGCCGTTTAGCTTTATGAGTCTCCAGGGAGAGATGCACAGTTAACGTAACACTTCAAACATAATTATTGATTGCGTACACAGCCTGCTGTTCTCTGGCTGCACCATCAGCAAGCCAAGGGAGAGAGGGGAGGCTGTGCCAGGGAGATGGCATGCCTCTCTGCCCATGTGCATATGTGGGCAAGGGCGTGGGCCTGGCATCGTGTGGGCCCTGGACTAGGAGTCCAACTTCCAGCATGCCCATCCACCAAGAACTGGCACCAGGCATTGGCATCTCAGGGCATCTGCCCATGCCCTAGCCAAAGAGGCTGCTGTTGATCCCTCTGGTTTTGGGTTTGAATGGCACCGGAAAGACACATTCCCATTTGGTTTGGAGTTTGGAGTCCTTGTTGAGTGTGTGCACAGAACTGACTTTTAATCGGAAGTCGGTTTCCTTTGGGGATTTGGATTTAAATTGTAATGGATGAAAAGAATAAATGTTTTCTTGCATTGCAGTATGGCTAGTCTTGGCTCAAGAGCAATGTACTGTGTGTTTCTTGGCCCATTTTTGTATACGGGTATAGCTACGTTGGAGGAGCCAGTGTAGTGTAGTGTAGTGGTTGAGTGTTGGACTATGACTCTGGAGACCAGGGTTTGAATCCCAACTGGGCCATGTAAATCCACTGGGGTCACCCTGGCCAAGTCACATGCTCTCAGCCTCAGAGGATGGCAATGGCAACCCCCCCTTGAAAGCACTTGCCAAGAAAAACCCATGACTGGATCGCCATACGGTCACCATAGGTCGGAAATGACTTGAAGGCACACAATAACGATACTTAAGTTAACAAAGTAGATCTCTTCTTAAACTTTACCTCTTGAACAGTAAATTTAGTACCAGAGGCAGAAATAATCTGGATAGGGTCCTACACCACAAAATAAGAAGAGCAGATCAACGTGGCTCAGCAAAGTTTTTAGTCAAAATATTCACATGTGGAATGAAACAACCGGGTCATAGAAGCCCTGAGTGAGTATCCAAAAACACCCTGAATCTTTGAGACTTCCCTTAATGGCGTCTTCCAAAATTAAGGATGCTTGCTTGACAACCTGAATGCATTATGGCAGGCCAAGAAGGCCTTGCAAGGTCTGATGTGAACGCCTTTGAGGGTGCATCAATGCGCACACTGGGAAGACTGATTTCTCTCCTTCTGGCCCTCCCAAGGCCCTGCTAAGGCAAGCATTAATTCTGCTGTGTCAGATTCCTCCCATTCCAAAAATTTCCTCCCACATTCAAGCTACCGAGCCAAGTTGGACCGGGCCAGAGTTAGTCACACGATTTTGCTTCCCAGTCCGTCCAACCCGGCCATTGTTCTCTCCCTTGGAACGTCAGGAAACGGAGAGGGAACAGCCCCTGGCGGCTGATCGGATGTTCTTAGTGGATGTCACCCGCCTGTTTGATCCTGTTTCCGTTTTGGTGTCTCTCACCCCTCAGCAAATTCCATTTGTGTGTGTGTGTGTGTGTGTGTGTGTGTGTGTGTTGGTTATGGTTGCCAGACTCAGAACTGGAGAGGGCTCCTGTGCCTTCCATGCTTGCTGATCCAGCGTGGTATAGTGGTTTGAGTACTGGACTGTAACTCTGGAGACCAGGGTTCAATTCCCAGCTTGGCCATGAAAACCCACTGGGTGAACTTAGGCAAGTCACCCTCTCTCAGCCTCAGGGGAAGACCCTGGTAAACCTCCTCTGGACATAGGTTTTTCGGGCTGTGTGGCCGTATTCTGGAAGAATTTATTCCTGACATTATGCCTGCATCTGTGGCTTGCATCCTCTGAACAGATCTTGCCCAGAAAACCCCACAATAGCTTCGCCTTAGGATCCCCATAAGTTGGAAACAACTTGACGGCACACAACAACAACAAATTACCTAGTTCCTGGTGCCATTTCCTAATCCCGGGTACAGCTTCAAAGTAACTAGTTCCAAATTACAGCCTGAATCGTTGAATGAATTGGTAAATGACAAGCAAACACTTACATCAATCCCATTGAGTTAACTGATCTGCTTTAGCTGGGACTACTGATAGAATTCAGGCCACTATGTTCCTTGTAAGTAACTACTTTCTTTCCAATAACTGAGACATAACTAAACCACGTGAAGATAACTGCCCTCTTTTTGCGGTCTGATTCTCAATGTCCTGAGATAGTTTTTGTAGTCACAAGGGTATGTGGTTTCACTACGCAGGTATGCTTGCCGCCACAGGCTTGCCACCTGCAGCGCTAGGATTTTCAAAAATGTAACTAAACATATCAGTTTGATTTACTTTTGCCTAACTAGAAAGGAGAGCAAAAATCTAGATGTGTTAGTCTGGAAAATCAGTATGCAAAGGGATCTTGCAGCACTTTTGAGACTCACTGAAAGAAAGAAGCTTTCAGTTTCTTTTCCTAGGAAAGTTTATGCTCCCAGCTTCTTTGTTTCAGTGAGTCTCAAAGGTGCTGCAAGATGCCTTTGCATAAGAAAGGAAAAGGATAACTTTAACACTGGAATTGCAACAATTCCTGTTACAGTTCCAGTGTTAAAATTGTCCTTTTCTTTTCTCATGCAATATGCAAAGAGACCTTGGAGCACCTTTGAGATTCACTGAAACAAAGAAGCTAGGAGCATAAGCATTCCTTTGGCTGAGAAAGAGAAAAGATAACTGTAACACTGGAATTGTAACAAGAATTATTCCTGTTACAATTCCAATGTTCAAATTATCCTTTTCCTTTCTCCTAGGGATCTTGGAGCATCTTTGAGATTCACTGAAACAAAGAAGCTGGGAGCATAAGCATTCCTTTGCTTGAGAAAGGAAAAGGATAACCGTAACATTGGAATTGGTAACTGTTAGCACTGGAATTGTAACAGGAATTATTCTTGGGCAAGTCACACCCTCTCAGCCTCAGGGGAAGGCAAGGGCAAACCGCCTCTGAACAAATCTTGCCAAGAAAACCTTGTGATAGGGTTGCCATAAGTCGGAAAGTAAGGGTGTTCTCTTGGCTCCACCACCATCGTAGTTGGTGCAAGAGGCTTTAATTTATTTTTCAAAAATTGTTTTCAATTAATGCTTTTAAATGGATTGTGAAGGCTTTTTTTAATGTACATTTTGGCGTTAGATTGTTTTGACATTTCAGTGTGTAAGCCGCTTTGATCCTGCATGGGAGAAAAGCAGGCTATAAATCAAATCAAATCAAATCAATTGATGGCTCCTTTTCCTTCAGAATAAAGGTGGCAGCATTAAACACACTTTCTTGCTAACCATGATGAACATATCATGCCCACTCCTGATCTATCCCCTTTCTTCTTCCTTCCCTCCCAGGGACGATGCGTCCAGTGCGAAGGAACTTTTACGATCCCTCCTCTGCTCCCGGCAAAGGAATTGTGTGGGAATGGGAAAATGACAACAACTCCTGGACCCCCTACGACATGGACATTTGCATCACCATCCAAAATGCTTATGAGAAGCAGCACCCTTGGCTGGATCTGTCCTCCCTGGGATTTTGCTACCTGATTTACTTCAACAGCATGTCTCAGGTGAACCGCCAAACGCAACGCAAGCGCCGTCTCCGGAGACGCATGGACTTGGCCTACCCACTCACGATGGGCTCCATCCCCAAGTCCCAGTCCTGGCCTGTGGGCACCAACTCTGGGCATCCGTGCTCCTGCCAGCAGTGCCTGCTGGTCAATAGCACCCGAGCCGCCTCGAATGCTATCCTGGCCTCCCAGCGTAGGAAAGTATATTCGGGCAATGCCAACGGAACGCTGGCTGTTCGTCAGAGCAATACATTCAATGGGACTGCCCTGTGGTCTCTGGGCACCCTGCAAGCCGGCGGGACGGCCAAGATGGAGCAGGTCCGTTCAGCCAATGGGATGCAAGTGGCCACCTTTTCGCGAAGTCAGAGTGCGCCCAGCCACACGCATCTCCCCGGTCAAAACAACCTGAACCGGCCTGGTACGCAGCGTGTGGCCATCCTGAGTACCAGGGCTTCCATCCCGCCAGGGTAAGTCTCAAGACGGCATTTGGTTAAACCCTTAAACAGGTGAGTCTTTTTGCCAATGTTCCTTTCTTCTCTCTGAAGATGCCAGCTACAGATGCAGGCGAAACTTCAGGAATACATTCTTCTAAAACACAGCCTCACAGCCCAAAAAACCCAGAGCAACCAATTCCCTTTTTCCGTTACGATTCCCAGAATTTCCCAGCCAGCATGGAGTGCTTGTTTTTTGACCAAGAGGAAAAGGCAGAGGCCTCCTCTGAATGCCATCTCCCCCTGGCACTTCCTTTGGCAAAGAGGCCGCAGGGGCTGGGTGCCCTTGCCAACCCTGCCTGCTTTGCTTCCCTGCATCCTCCCTAAGCAGAGCGGAAAGAGCGGCCTGCATCGTCCCTTGGCTCTTTCTCTTACAAAGGAGGTATTTCTTTGTCTTTTTTGGCCAGCTCTGGACCCAGAGAGCCGGCCTTGGGTTGCCACAGCAACCAGGTGCCAGGGCTGAGAATAACCAGCGTCTCAAAGGCCCCAAGGAGCACCTCTCCCCATTGCACTTGCTCAGTTTCCTCTCCTTATCCCCTGCAGTGCTTCCTCCTCTCCCTTATTCCTCTGCCCTCTGGAGTGGCACATCCCTGCAAAAAAAGACGTGGATTTTGAACACAAATACAGTTCTTTGCACGGAGCCCCAGGGAGCTGTGGTCGGCCGGGAGGCTAAGGATGGCTGACTCTGTTTCGATTCATCTCCTTTTCTCATTTTGCTGGTCTTCATCTTGCACACGCCGTGACTGTTTCCTCCACTGTTTGGTTTGTCGCAAACACTGAGGCTTTGGGGGAGGAGGCAGGGTTTGTTTTGGACTTTTGCACCTTTCTCTGATGCTCCCCAAAGGTGTCAATTTTTCAAGGAACACTGTGTGTACTAGGGGCTCTGCATCTTACCAACGTTTGCTTGCCCCCGAGGTCTAATCTGCATTGCAGGATTAATGCACTTGGGTGCCACTTTGACCGCCGTGGCTCAATGCTCTGGGATTCTGGGATGTGTGGTTTTGTGAGCTATGTAGCCTTCTCTGTCTGGTGCCACAACATACTACCAATCCCAGGATTCCATAGGACGGAGCCGTGGCCGTTAAAGTGTTGTCAAGCAGGATTCTTTCAACCATGCAGCTTAGACCTAAGTCACTACCAAGAATGGAAGCGAAAACAGACACGCACCATTGGCACATACCTTAGCCGCTCCCAGGAACAACCTGGGTGGTGAACTGAGGCCACCATTTGCATGAGCTTCCTTCCTCTGCATTTCTTGACTTCTGGGTTACTCTTGATGCTCAGCAGAGACCTTGTGTGCTGAGCAGAACTTCTCCTGCCTACAGAGTTTGCGGTGCCCATGGACAGGTAGGATGGTTCTGGTGATGGTTTTTCTAGCAGGGACTTGGAAAGTTAGAATTAGAGAACCAAAGCGTTGGAAAGGGGCCTCAACTCCAGTTCGAACATCTCCAGCCACAGGTAGCCGTCCAGCCTCTTTTTGAAGATGCCATCTTCTGCTGATCTTGGAAGCTAAGCAGGGATCCAATCTGCTAATAGATTGGAATTTGTGACCATATTCCAATTCTGTCATTTCTCTCTCCTATAGTCCTCTGACTTTTATTTTCCATTCCTGAACAGTTACCTGAACATCTGTGATTTTGTGTCCAGGGAGACAGAAATGTTCCACCACTGTAGGATCGGAATGCATTTCTAGAACTAGGTGGACCTTTAGGCTGATCCGGAAGAGTTCTAGATTTTTACATTCCTGTGCATTCATTGCAGAATGTCCCAGGTTGAACCCCTGGCCAGCTCAGTTTAAAACAGAGCTTGGAAAAGTTACTTTTGGGACTATGACTCCCAGACTCCCCAAGCCAAGCTCAGGCTTGAAGGATAACGGGGAACACCAAGCTCCAAGGACGTGATTCCCAAACTTTCATCTTCCAGATGTTTTGGACTTCAGCTCCAGAAGCCCCAGCCAATTTGGACAGCAGTCAGGGATTCTGGGAGCTGAAGTCCAAAACATCTGGAGGACCAAAGCTTGGGAATCGCTGTGCTAGATGAACAAATAATCTGACCTGGTATATAGTAGCCTCTACTTAAATTCTTGGTTTCTATGCATAGCAGAGTTCAGGGAAAACAGACCATTTGTTTTTTAAGGAGCATGCAATAAATAAATAGAGGCTATCCCTAGTAAACAGGTAGACTTGGAGCCTATGTGGTACTATAGCACTCAATGTATTCTCATGTGGCCCTTGAAGGCTATAGGCAGGAGACATAAATAGTACTCCTTAAAGGATTACACCGGTCAGGAGAACATTGTGGGATAGCCTATAAGCCGACACAAATTAGAGTACTACACTTCGACAAAGCCCATTTCATCCCTAAGACTGCAAGGCCAACACATGCTGTACATTGCAAGAAGCGGGGAGCGTCACGTAAAATGCACCGCCACAGATTTGTCTGGTGTAGTTGAAATGTTCCTCTGCATTTGGTAATCCTGCAACCTCTACGCCAAGTTGTAGTAAAGACAGTCAGGCAATAGGAGCAGAGAATCGGAAATCCGCATCGCGACTTTGGATCAGTCCGTCATGTGCGAGCGTGCAAAGATGCAAAGATCTTTGCTTTAATGCAAAGA